TCTCGAACCTCGCTTAGTAATCGACAGAATATAGTTGAAGTCAATCCATTTCTGTTTATTGTTCAGTTGATGAAGATACTGGTTGAAAGGCAGAGTCATTTTCTTTTTAAATGTTTATGCTTGAGGTGTAAGAGGTCATGTTGTGGCCAACTGAACCAAAGCTTAGGTCCACTACACTTGCCGTTTGAAAGAAAGCACGCCATTGATCTGGTCTGGTTCGATTTAGAATCTCGGCATCTTGTCTGTTTATTAAGTTTTCATATTTGTTTATATTTTTTTCTCTTTCATTGCTTTAATAGTTTTTCATAGAGTAAGCATGAATTAAGTAAATGAATTAAAATTGTTGTCTATCTTAATTCATAAATTGACACATGTACTTTCAAATAAATCTATAATCAAGAATCATTTGTCTTTTTTTTTTTTTCATTTGATTAATTTTTATCGTAGCGGATATCTTCCCATAGCTACATGATTTGGAGACACCAACTTGGGAGAAGGGATAATCAAACGGAAGCCTTCCCTTGTTCTTAGCACCAACCAAAAAGGGTGAAACCCTGGTCCATATTACTACCAGGGCTGGTCATGAAACATTGTTAATAGTTTCATTGATTCTGTCAAAGACTTTCGGTGACATATAAATTGCCAGGACAAGAGACATGTATGGTAATACCCCTCTGCATGGCGCTGTCAAGAACAAACACTCAGAAAGAGGCACGAGCATTGGCTCGCCAGGATCTGCAATCCTGGTATTGGTTAAAAATGCAGGGGAAGCTCTTCTGTCTATTGCAATAGATTTTGAGTATGTTTGTCTTGCCAAAAGTCAAAATCTCTTTTATCATCTTCATAGGGAGCCATGAATTTTTCTAAATTACAGTTATGGCTGTCGATGTTCTGGAAACATATAAGCTTTTATGGGATTCTTGAAATGCTGCAAACCTGATAACGTGCAGCTTTAATTTACTCCCTGAACATTAGAAAGCATTTTTTCCCAACAGGTTACATGATGAGAATAACGCATTAGCTCCAAGACAACATCTTCCTATTAATCACTAGTTGAACAGAGAAAAAAACTGCTTCGATAACATTCTTCTGGCAGACTTACTGGGATTAACTAGTTGGTTGGGACAGCATCCCAGCGCCATATTGTCCCGTCCTCACAGCAACTGAGAATGGTGCTGCAACAATCAAAAGAAAATATACAGTTCACCAGGTGTATAACGAACATCATAACTCATAAAACACCATTACAAATCCAAATGATAGTTACCTTCCATCAAAAGACATGGCAGTCTGTCTTATTGGAGACTTTGACTGGGCATGAGATAGCCTACAGAAGAGACAAAATAAGAATGACCATTAAATAGATATATAAGGAACTTCCTTTTAGCACCACTGAGAGCAAATCAAGCAAACCTGGCAATGAGAACAGGAGGGCTACTTTGCAGTTCCCAGACGTAAATCTTTCCTTCTCTATTCCCTGCCAAGTCCAACAAAGCTCATAGATGAGTACAAGCTTTAACAATGTTAAGCTTATCAAGATGCACAACTTGGTTTGGAGATCACAAGAAAATACACAAGTAATAATCTGCTAGGTAATGAGCATGGTTGTAACTCATCAAGCAATTATACTGTTATTACTATGTTGTTTACATTCCAAAGGATTTGGCATTTCATATACCTATAGCAGCAGCATTGTAATGAAAGTCACAAGAGAATTTGATGAACCAAATGTCACACTCTGGGACAGGATATTTTTGGAGGATGTCAGCCGTACCCTAAACAAGAACATCACAAAATTTGTCATTGCAGCAAAAGTTGAGGGCTATAGGAAAGATATATATATATATATAACAAGAAAAATGAACGGGAATAGAGGGCTTTACAAGAGAACTGAGAAAGTTCAAACCTCTCCTGGAGATTGCTCCTTCATTTTTGGTTCCCATAGCACTATTTCATTGTCAACACTCTGCAATTACACCACACAGTAACTTATATAACCACAAGAGAAATACAGAATTCCAGCTTATGCCAGAGCAGCCTACATGAAAGGTGTATGATAACAAGGTCAAGGAAAAGTTTCCCAGTACGCTGCAACTAAAACTTTTTCAAGTAAACCATAGAAGTCCTAACTTGAGAAAGAAAGTTCCCATCTGTTGTATCTCTAACAATGTAACCTGATTTCTGAAAAGAAATGCCATTTAGAAAATGATCTTTCGGTTGAAGTTACATGCAAAAGAAGTGTTTTCCATTTTTGATCCCAATGTCCCGTACCAAAACAAACGTCAGAAAAAGCGGCAGACATAACATTAACAAGCATTGAATTAAAGCAAGGCATCAGAAAGCTGCCAGAAGTTTATACTACTTGGGCTAGAGACGTCCTAAAAGGATGTGCAAAGATTCTTCACAAAATAGCTCAAGTTACTATGCTGAGAAAGCAACAAAACAATGTGGCAATGCTTATCAAATCAAATTTGAGCTTTCTATCAAAGATGATATAACAGTGGATAGAGCCAATAATTTACCTTTGACAGGATGAAATCACCAAGCCACCGACTACAGTCCACATAGTTTGAATGAACTGAAGCTAAGAAAATCTGAAAATAATAGATATAACCATTAAAATCTTAGAACAACAGTCATATTTTTACATAGAAGAAGAAGAAGCTACTCACAGGGAACTGTACATATTTTGTGGGGAATTTTGAAGGAAGATCCGTCCATGTGAATGATTTCTCAACATAAGTCCAGAATTCTGAAGAAAGGTTAAGAAAAGGATATAAAGGAGTAAATGTCTAAATTGATGTTCGCTTAACGTTCCAATTACAACAGATAAATTGGATTGTTGCCACCAAAAAGGGCAACAACCACTCATGATGATGAGTGTCATACCTTTCATTGACCAAATCTTAACAGTGTTGTCCATGCCACAACTTGCAATGCGATGAATATCTGAAGGATGGAAATCCTACAATAACAATCATAACCGTCTGTTTATGTTGGTAAGAAATATGAAAAAAGAAAACAAACCAAACATTAAAGGACATGGTACAATTCTCCAAGGGAAAGACAGCATAGCATAACTCAATATTGTCTTTACCTACCACACTCAAAACTTCATTGCGGTGACCCCCAGCTCCAGCAAATATCAGAATGCATATTCCAGTATGAACATTCCACAGCCGAACTGATTCATCCTGCCCAATTTCAAAATTTAGACATTTGATAAAGCAAACAGTTATCAAGCATATGTATTGATCCTTACTTTACTTGCAGACACTATAAGTGATGGCTTCAATGGCTGAGTCCTGATTTCATTGATCGAGTCACCATGGCCAACAAAACTCTGCAGATACACATGCATGCAATGGAATGAAAAAACGATATATGAGTTACACTATCATTTTTTAACAGCAATGAATGGACATCCAAATAGCAGCTCTGATTTTCTAAAGATGATACCTTGTGTATTTTCTCATTACTTGCATCAATTACACGGATTATGCCATTAATACCTCCGGCCACCACAAACGGAGTACCATCAATGTTGCATGCCCAACTTATTGTGTAGAAAGACTCATCCTTCTGATCTACAAAGCACATGGAATGATGCAATGGTGCAAAAAGACATGTTTAAAGGAAAAAAATTGCAATATAGAGTGTTGTTTCTTACATCTTCATCTACATAAGACTGTAAAACAGCTATAACACCGCCTTCAAGGCATTGGTATACTGTCACCTGTAAACATAAGGGTATATTAACATCTGCAAACATAAGGGCATATCAACATTCAGTAACATCATTTCAATGGATGCATGAAGGTGGGAGAAAAACAAACAAAACTGGTAAAGACTGCACATTTTCTAATCAAAATAAGCATCCAAACTAAAATAAAGACTGAAGAAAAAAACTTCAAAAAAAGAAAGAACAAAAGATCAAAAGGGTCTCGAATTTTCAAGCATTTGCATTCATAAAAGCAGAACATAGGGCGCGGCGCTCATTCAGAAAGATTGAAGTCATTAATTGGCTAATATTCCCAAAAACAGGGCAAAGAAGGTGTCTCCTGCTTAGCAAATTGAAACTAAAAGAAACCCATCAATTCCCAGAACGAAGGGCAACAAACAAAAATTACCCGGTTACCACCGACGGTAGCAAAAACGTTGAAGTAACGGCAGTCGATGAAGTTGAAAACGACGGCGTAGAGGGGGCGTTTGCCTTCTTGGAGACGGTTGGTGACTCTGTATTCTCTTTTCTTTGACGGTGTTAGAGATCCCACCACTGGTTCTAGCCCTATGGGCGTCTTCGCCATTTTTGCTTTGAAAACTTGTTGGCTCCCGACCAGACAAAATCAAGAGATTTCAGTTCCAACTTACGGGAGAGCTCGCTTTGAATAAGTTTCTCCGTTTTCACTTGTGAATTTTTGTTTTACTCTTTAATTTAAAAAAAAAAACAAAATAAATATAATTTTTATTGTGACTTTTATTTTTATAGATTTTTTCTTAAAATTATTATCTTAGCTCTATTATATACAGTATGTCAAGTATCTCGCATTACTAAAAAGATGAAATATGTATTTAGGTTTATAAGACAAGGTCTTTCTAATAAGTGTTATTAGAGTTTATCCAATTTTTATATGACATGAAAATTTTTATAAAAAATGTTAAGATGGAGATAAATTTATTTCGAAATAAGACAAATTTTTTTCTTAAATTATAAAAAAATTAATCTTAGATTTTAAATTTATAAGAGTTTTTTTATTTAATAAATTTGTCTTTTAGATTAAAAATATAGATTAGTGACATATAAATTATAATTTTATAAGTTGAGTTTATAAAATTAATACATATTTATTATATTAGTTATTATTTATTAATAATAATTTAATAAATAGTTTATAATCCAATAAATAATAACATATAAATACTATACATTAATAATACATCAAATATAAAATTTAATAATAATAATATTATTATTATTATTATTAATGCTAACTATAAAAATGTATCTTTTAAGTTCCTATGTATACCCCATGGATTTTTTGGCAATGTCCTATTCTTCCAGCAAATAGCAGTCTAACAAAAGGACAAATAGCAGAAATGGTCCAGGCCTTATCTTCATCCATTCACTTTGGTTTCCAAACTGCCATGGCCTCCACTCTCCTTCACTTCCTTTCTCCCCCACACCATCTTCATCTATCCAACCTCCCAATCCATAGCACAGTAAAACCACTACATTTCACCATCAAATGCACTTCTGCAGAGGCAAATTCGGCTCCTCATCAGCCAGATTTTCCATCTCCAATCTCTCATGATACCACCATAAGTCCAGACAGTTTCCCCATCGAGAAACGGAGAAGATCAGAGATAATCCGGGAGAGAAAACCGAGACCAGACATTGGAAAGCCAGAACCACCAAATTTCGAGGTTGGTTGGAAGAGAACCAAGGAGATTAACTTAGAGATGCCAAAAGGGTATGTGATAATGGACTTCTTGGAGAAGTTGGAAGGGTTAATGGGGAGAGAATTTGGTTCCACTGAGCTGTTGGCTAAGGCTGGAGAACTTGTGGCAGAGAGAGCAAGGGAAGAAGCAGAAGTGTTGAGGGATGAAGGGAAGGTGGAAGAGAGAATGGTGACGGAGTTGTTCAGGGTTTTGAGATTGATGGAAATGGATTTGGCTATGGTGAAAGCTGCAGTGAAGGAAGAAACTCTGGGTGAGAGACTTGAGAAGGCCAAGGCTCGGTGCAGGCAAGCCATTCTAGTTGCTAACTCTTTTTGAAAGGTAGAGAGCAAGAGAGATAATTAAACTTTAATGTAAATTAAGTGTTAATTAACAATTTCAGTATCTAAAATTAATTTTCGATTGATGACCTATTTGGCTTATAAGTTTTTCTTTGTCGAGCTTGTTTTTATGCAAAATAAAATATTGAGAGTTGGGATGGAAACTGGCTCAATCAATTTCCAATTTAAGCCTATGGTTTATACTTTTAACTAGTGAGATAACACAGACAACAATAGCATATAATTAAAGCTTGGGTTTAATTACAATGAATTAAATTCTCTTGAGTCTTTACCATGCTGCCATGATTTCAGGGACAAACTCTCGAAATTTGTCCTTTTTGCTATATTAATTGATTATTTGTGAATTTATTTTATTTATCATTAAAAGTTGCTTTGATAGGAAGAATAAAATAAGTGTGTTTGTTAATTCTTAATTAATTGTAAGTATAAATTAAAATTGAATTCATTTATCTTAATTTTTATTCTTAATTTTAAGTAAAAACTAACAAACAAATATCCTCAATATGTTTGATAAACCTTTATCAGCCAAAAGGCTTCATAATTTTAATAATGGTTTCACATCTTTTATATACATACATCGAATACTTTATAGAAAAAATTACAGGTGTATGTATTTAGATTGACCGGGTGATGTTTAGCTGGATGTTTCTATAGACAATGAATGGTGATTAAAGTACAATTATAAGATTAGTTATAGTGTGTATATATATATATATATATATATATATATATATATATATATATCTCAAATTATATATATATAATAAAAAAAATTAAAATTAAAAAACGATAACCGCCACCATTTATAAAAAAAAATTCATAAGAGATTATATGTTAAAATCAAGTTATTGCATAAAACAATTGGTCAAGTCTCATAACTAATATATAACACTCACAGAGGATATTAATCCTACTGTCAATCAAAATCTTAATAATAATAATAATAACATAAAAATTAATTTTAGAATCAACAAAATAAACGTAAACTCTGTTTAATCTTACCTTTCATATCAAAATTACATATTTAAATGAAAGTTCAAATATTTATTAAGTTGGGGAACCCGTTGAGCTGGCTACCTCAACTCGCATCTTATCCCCTCTTCCCCTTCAAGTCTTTTGAGCGATGGACTGAAAATTGCTCCAAAACACTAGCATTCTTGAGTATGTATTCTAAGAAACTAACCTCTTCCACACTTCCCCTAAAACCTGAGAGTCTAAAAGTTTTCAAATAATATGTCAAACAGCGGGGTACAACATTCTGCAGAAGATGAATTTCCTCTTCCTTGAGAATGCGTAGTTTAAGTCCCTAAAACAAACCAAGAATCATTTGTGACAGAAAAACAAGTCAGCAATCTCATAAAATCACAGCAATAAGTAGCAGATTATGCAAAGATTTCAATTTAGAGAAACCTACGTCAGGAAGGTCTAGAGACTGTAGATGAGCTGACTTTTCAATAATGTGCAGCAACGCAGCTGCACTAAAATCACAATCCCCTTCGCTCACTTTCAAATGGGTTAAAGCGAAACATAGAGGAACATGATCAGCATCAAAATTTTCTGCACAAGAGATGGTCTTGGAACACAAGGAATGAAAGAATTTAAGTAGAAGATCTTCTAAAAGTAGTCAAAGATGGAAATTGACAAGTTGGTAATACCTGAAGAGTGCCATGTGATAGTCTAAGAAAATTGACGTTGAGACAAACACTTTTCAATAACTTAAGTGTGCAGTGAGCAAGCTGAACCTGTTTGTACAAAGGTCTCCAGGGCACAATCTCAATATGAGCGTGTGCACAAGATAGGTTACAAAAATCAATTTCAAATGGCGAATCACTCCACAACTTAAAAAATTTAAGACTTGAGAAAAAATGAAATTTTAGAAAATAATTAGAAGCTGTATGATGGTAAATAGTTAATGTACGCAGAGTGTGAATAGAGATAGTGACGCCATTGACTTTATTCCAAGAGCATTTGTCTAAAAGCAGCTCTTTAAGGACCGAACAAGCAGCAAAAAAAAGCTGAGCGGAGTGCTCGTTTTGAAATCTAGCACATATAAGATATAAAGCTTTAAGCCTAG